TATACTCTTTAGGCATTTGATGATATTATGAATCCAAGACATCTCTACCTAATGATTTTTCTCCAACGAAGACTATTTGCTTAGGACAAGATGGCAGAAGATATTTGAGAGAATTTAGGAGCTTTTTCTTTTGTATAGGTGAGATCAGCTCTGCTTTTTAACAGGAAATTGGACAAATGCTTTACAAAAAATATTTTCAACATAGGTGGTTGTGGCTAGCTCTGTTAACCAGTTCAGTTGCTCTTCAATTACAAGCATTTTGATTAAGAACAACTTTATTGACACATATTATGTGTGCATACATTTCAACTAAGTCTTCTCTAAAGACAAAATTTTTATTGAATACGAGAAGCTAAATTATGGGAAAGTAAGATATATGACTGTCATGAAACATCGATTCACAAAGACAATTTAATAACATTAGTTCGATAGATCTACTTTCAGTAAATATTTCATTGTTAGAAATTTGGCTTTTTCCTAGGAGATATTATGTTTTAGGGGAGAAAAGGTTGTCCTTTTACATATACACATGCACACATACACAAAATCACCTAAATAAAAAGTTGTGGGAAATTATTCTTTGTAAACTACTTGTCTTTTTGGTACCAACATTTCTTAAGAAAGTGAGAAAATACAAATTTGGCTTCAGAACAAAGAAGCACCATAGAAAGATTGACTGAAATGTTTTAATTATTTGAGTCACCTCAGGACATCAGAGACTTTTCCTTTTGATTCCATTTTTTTAAATCTTCATTGACACTTCCCTAAATAACAACACTACATTTGATTTAGAGAATACCTCTAAACCCCCAAAGGGAAGAACGTTTTCTTAAGGAAACTGAGCAAAGTATGCTGTTATCAAAGGACTGACAACTCTGTATAACTCCTATTCCTTGATTCTTTCTAGACAATCAAACAGACTAAAGTTTTCCCCCCTAACTTTTCTAAAGACGAATTGCTCAGACATAATGTTAAAATTTTATAAAGTATTCACTCCTTTGGGGATATTATATATTACTTTAATTACTGTTTGATAAAGGAGATAAAATTAAGATTTTTTAATATTTCACATTGTCATAAGAAATTCTAACACATGCTTCAGGAATCTCACATACTGGCCACTGGGGTGAGTCACACACCGTCTCCAGTCCCAATTACAAACATTTTAGCTCCTTCTGAGCCTTCTCTTGTTCTCTTACTGCCTTCCTCTCTGCTGTGAAGTAGGGCTTATGTCACACAGGCTATAATGTTGGAAAAGACAAATAAATGAAAAACAACAACATATTGATCTAAACATGTCTACGATGAAAGTGGAATGTCTCTTAAGCTACATGTAAATTGTAATAAATTGTAAATTGTAATAAAATACCACTAGCTCCATAGGACATCATAACAGAGATAACAAATACTCTGCTGACACTTTAAAAATAGTATAACAAATACTACGATAGCTGCAATGAATCTTGCTCACTCTCTCAACAATCCAACCCCCACGTACCACCAGAGTGACCTATCACTGAAATCTGGCCATGGGACTCTCCAGCTTAGAGCTCTTCCTTTGTTATCATAGCTTCTCATGCCTTGCAAAGCTTCACAGGAGGTTCTCCAGGCCCCTGCCCAGCATGGCTTGATTTCATCACATCTGGCCTAGTGCCGTGTGTCTCAGCTACCTGTGACTGGTGGTCCATCCCCACTTCTCAGAAGTTCAGCACTCATTGCTTCGCTTCTAGCTGTTTTCCTCTGCCAGAAGTACCTAGCTTGCTCCCTCCTCTCCTTCTGTTTGCTTTGCTGGACAATTCTCAGTCTTTCCACTCCAGCTGTAAATTTCTGTAGGGAACTACCTCTAACCATTATCTTTACTTCTTCTGTCCACATTTCTGTGAATTAAACTTGGATCTCCTAGAAGGCAAGGGCAATGTCTTACTCATTTTTGCAAGCCCACCTCCCAGGAGAGTGTTAGGCACGCAGTAGGTCTTAAATAAATGTTTGTGAAACTGTTGAACAATGGGAATTAGAGGGAGTTAGATTTTTTTTATGTGCTCATTTTCTTGAAATGGTAGTTATTATGACCTTGAAAGGGCTGATTTTGATGAATCTGTCCATTTCTAACCATTTGGGAAATAATAGTCCTCTTTCTAAAGTATCTTATGTTTAGAAAAATTAAATGTGAAGATGGCACAGAAAAATGTGGGGAACCAACTATTTTACCTTTCTTTTCAATGCCGTCTTTAACTAAGCTCTGCAAGTAGGAGTAGGTGCTCCATAAGATTTTTGGCAGCATACTAATATACACATCAGCAATTTAACCCATGATGAGAACAACTTCAAAAAATCCAAAAGCTGATGAAAACTGTGTCTCAAGATGAAGTTCCCATAATACTTGCATTAGAGAGAAGATATTTTAGTCCATTAGAGGATTTATCCCAGAATCAGAAAGGCAAAGAGTTTCCATAAACTATAGTTCTTAAACGAAAAATGAACTGAAGGTATAGTCTAATATTTTGTTTTTAAACAAAAACTGACCCATGAATAAAAACCTTTGGTTTTCTGCATAGAGTTTTCCTTATTCCAACAAACTGAGCATTTTTATTATACTAAAAAAGTTAATAAACAACTTTTTTTTTAAATACTGGGTAGCTGGGAGTTAATGAACACAGTGTGTCAGACCCAAAGCTGAGTTTAAATTCTAAATCTAATTCTTGAAATAAAATAAGCACCTCTCTTGCCCAAACACTCTGGCAATAAACTGAAACCTGTGAAACTGAATATTATAAATCCTATCATACAGTCACATGTTTCTTAATCTTCTAAATTCTTCAGTAAACTCATTTGATCTATAGTTGAGAACTCATTCCAGAATTCAGTATAATCCTCTTCTCTCCTAGACATTTGGCAAGCTTGTCATAAAGGCCTTCAACATTCAAATTCCTCCTTTGAGACAATTATCCTGTCTTAAAAGCAGCGTCATAGGTTTAGAAAACTACATGAAGGTCTAATCTTGCCTGTTAACATTCAACAGCTTGTCTTCTTTAAAGCACAAAACAGTTTTTGAAAAATCTTACAAAATGTTCTCTGTTTTACCAAAGCGTTTGAAATAAAAATCAAAAAAGCTGAGTCCTTTAAAAACTGGATTCCAGGGTACCCAATTCATGCTTCCTCACACCCTCAACCCCCCCCTCCCCAACTTGCTTTTATGATTAATATCAATGAACACCAATGCACTGCTAATAGGACAATGCACTTGAATAGCTACAGCAAAATGAAATCAGTGATGGGACAGCAATCATGTTCATTTTTGGCATGTGACCACATCCAAAGAAATTCCTAAAGTGTTTGGTCTGAGGCCCACTAGTGTGGTGCAGGGTGGTTTTAGTCTTTAAATAGTCTCTTATCTGGTCTTCATTTTTTCATTCACAATATATATTCATCTGTTAACTCATTCATTAAATAATCAGTAATCACATGCTACAGGCCAAAAACTGTCCTAGACAATAGTGACAAAACAGAGGTTCAAAAAAAATCACAGTGTGTGGTGATCAGTTAGATAAGGGAAATAAGAGATACAATTCAATGTAGCTAGAGACTATGGGAGAACATTTTCAAAGCATGGCATTTTGGGGATAGTAACAGAAGATTACATTACAGATTACAAAATAGGGAAGGGCATAGAGGAGGATAAGCAAAGATAATTAAAAGGCAAACCACGAAAGGCCCAGAATGTCATGCAGAAGATGTGGAAAGAAATTTTAAGCCAAATAGTTTTACACTATTAAAGACTTTTAACCCATCCAAGCCAGCCTGGATGTTAAGCCTTAAGTTACATGGTCAGGCATGATTTAGAGGTATTACTGCATTTGGAAAAGGTAGAAGCAACAAGATCAGCTCTCAGATGGCTATAAAAATACAGGTACAAATTGGCAAAGGCCTAAACTAAGGCCGTGGCAGTGAAGATGCAGAGGAAGATTTGTGAGCTATTGGGACACAGAACTGACATGATTTAGGGACTGTTTAGATGTAGAGGATGAAGGAGAGAAAAACATCTAGGATTATTTTTACAGTTCAGTTTTGGACATAGTACTTTTGTTGTAGCTAGAAGATGTCCAAGTGGAAATACTGAGCAGGCAATGGAATGTACGAGCCTGGAACTCAGAAGAAATGTCAGGGTTGAAATGAAAAATGGAGGTATATTAATCCATCTAGCAAATGGGTGTGGGGGGGAGAGGGAAAGTTGTTGTCGAGGGACACAAAAGGATGGCCCCAGACACAGGAGAAAAACAATCAATGTTACTAAACCCAGAGAGGAGTTTCAAAGAGAGAGAAGTCCACAGTGTAAATTCCTGTGTAGCAGTGAAGTAAGAAGGAGCCTGAACAGTGCCCAGGGAATCTTGCTACTCGGAGATTACCCCTGGCCGTGGAGAGTGCAGTGTCATGGAGTAGCTTGGGCACAAACCAGACTCCGGTGGGTTGCAGAGTTAGCGGAACCATAAGAACTGAGATCTTTTTTTTTTTTCTAGAAGCTTGGGGTAAAGAAACCAGATAACTAACTGGCTGGAAGTTTTTTATAGCCATTTTAGTGACAACATTCTGTGAAATTCTACTAACAACCGTTTTGTATCAAGAAAAATGGATGCTCTTCCCCCAGAGGCCTAACTTGCTACCAGCCCCTGATGTTAAGGAATTGAGGAGATGGAGCTCAGGGAGGTTCAGAGTAGGATTCATCTGTTTGGATGCTTGACTTGGGAATGCTCAGGCAGACACTGCGCTTGTTCCTGCCCCTGTAATAAGAAGCAGATGAGGTGTGGACAGCTATCAGCCTCCCTTATCTCTTGGTTTGGGGTGGTGATGGTGGTGGGGGTGTAGGGAGTATAGATTACCCATTCAAGTGCTGGAACAGGAGAAAGAAGGAAGTTATTATCTGCACAAGAGTAAAATAACCCTTAGGTAGACACATAGAAATAAAAAGAGACTCTGAAGGGACAGTCATCTTGTTGGTTACTCACGGGTGGTCCTGGGGGTCCTGGTTTTCCCGGGGGTCCCGTCTTCCCTCGTCTTCCCTTGAAACCAAAGAAAAACAGATAATAAACAAAAACAGATAATAAACACTGTGATTCCATTTCACTTTAATGGAAGATCATCTTAAATGGCAATATTGAAGACAGTAAAAATGAACAAAAAGTTAAAAAAACAACTCCAATTCTACATGACTTGTAAACATCAATGAATTCTACAAGTTAAGAGCCAATTCTTAAGGACCACTGTTAGGAAACATAGTACCTGAAATGAATGAATTGTAACTGTTGTCAGTATCTCTTTATATGCTGTCTACCTTGATATTCTCGCAAAGTATTAATAATATAAAGTATCTGGAAGATGGTCTAAGATTGGCATTTTATCTGATGATTCAGTGGTTTCTGAGGCAATGATAAATGCATCTGTCATATCAAGTTGGTGTTTCTTAAAGAGGGGTCTAAATTCTAATTTTGTAGAAGTTACCTGAGGGTGAGTTTGGGTGTTAATATGCATATTCCTGGGATTCATCCTAGGCTTAATGGTTTACAGGCTCTGCGGACAGGAGAATCTGCATTTTTAAAACCACCTCAGACAATTCCTATGCTCACTAAAGTTTGAAAAGCACTGCCCTGTGCCCTATTATAATTATATATGCAGTGTAAAGCATTAACTAGCTCTTTTCTTTCCTTTGGGAGGTTAAGCTGTTTTATAAGTGAACTAAAATATATAATTCTTGTTTACTAATCATTATTATTGCAATGGAATAAACTCTCCTAAGTTCACAACTAGCTAAATTCCAATTGCAAGATCAGAAAGATAAGTGTGTGCTAACATTTCTAAGTAACTATGTGTCTAATATTTAAAGAACATTTCATTATTTATCATAAAATTATTCTCTTAAATTTTTTTTCCTAACAGGAGGTAGTAAGCTTGCATATTGAAAGTATACATTTTGAATGAGAAGCATTTCTGAGTATATGTTTTCTAAATGTGATCACTTTAATTCATTGTTACTAATAATTCTATTTGATTACCATATTGGTAAAATATTAATACATATTAAGACATTGATATTTAAAAAGTAAAAATATTGGGTTGATCTTTTCAATACTTTTTTGAGAGGAGAATTGTAAGCATAAGCACAGAAAGGTCCATTTCATTCACTAATTTTCTTGTTCTGAAAGTATGAGGCGAAGTTGCTTGATTTCTCTGCTTTTCATTTAGGCTTGGAATGGGGTAGGAAGTCTAAATGCCAGCTGAACTGGCAGAGCAAGTTCTGGGTGGCAAACAAGTAAATACAATGCTGTGATGGAGTGAGAAATGCATCTGAAGGTAATTTACTTGATATAAAAACAGGAGTCTTTTTCATAAATAACCCTAGCTAACATCTATAGGACAGAGTTTTTAAAAAATTAATTTAAAAACAGAAATATAATCAGTGGTGTTTTCATGTACCTTTCATCTTAGAGAGCTAAACCTTGGAGCTCTTTTGGGGGATTGTAAGATTGGAATGAATAGATAATTTAATATCCTGTATAGTTAATGCAAGTTATACACATGTACATCATTTTCTAGTCTTGCAGTTTACATTTTCTGAAATTCAACATATTTGGTCTTTTAGTAAATGTAAGTCAATTAGCCTCTGAGGACTAATCAATGATAAAAAGTTTACTTAGAAAGCGGAAGCATTGTAATTTATTAATTCAGGAAAGCACAAAGAAACTAAATCAATGGCATCTAAGTAAGTTATTGGTCCATTCTTTAAGCATGTCTTAGGTTGAGGTAAGTTAAAACCATAGGATCAACTTTAGTTTACATTCTCCTTTCTTCAAAGGAGACGTGTATATTGATTTGGGCAGGAAGTGGGGAAAAGGAGGCTGACATTGATTAACTTTTATCACCAAGTTAATGTTTAAGACAAACCAAATGTCAGATATTGTAACATAACATTGACATGTGTTAAGATGAGGAGTGATAAGTGTACACAATTCAGTATATGGTAAGGGCAAGCATCCAAATTCTTGCATATCATTGCAGATTTCAGTCAGCCTTGTCATTGTCACAGTGTCAGTGTGTATGTCGGATGAGTGCAGAGGGAAGGCTGATTTTGTTTCTGTATGCTTGCTAAGAGTGGACATGCAGGCAAACTATTTTTGAGGATTTTTAGGTAATTGGAACATTGTGTGCAGACAACTTTAGCCAGCACATATGTTCAGTTTAAGCCTGGATTCTAGGTTTGAATTTCTAGTATCACCTTAAAGCAGAGCACCTTTTTCTTAGACCTAGCATCAAGTAACACATACAAACTGAGTATCCCTTGTCTGAAATACTTGGGACCAGATGTATGTTGGATTTTTTCAGATTTTGGAATATTCGCATGTACATAATGAGATATCTTGGAGAGGTTACCCAATTCTAAACACAAAGTTCATTTATGTTTCTTATATACTTTATACACATAGCCTGAAAGTAATTTTATGCACTATCTCAAATTATTTTGTGCACGAAACAAAGTTTTGACTGTGTTTTTACTGCCATCCATCACATGAGGTCAGGTGTGGAATTTTCCACTTGTGTCATCATGTTGGCACTCAAATATTTTGGATTTGGGGGCATTTCAGATTTCGGGTTTTTGGACAAGGGTTGTTCAACCTGTAGTGGGAATAGGATATACCTTAGGAGAAGCTCTTGTGACTTAAGTCCCAAGGATCAGTGACCTGCAGAGGAGGCTCTGAAGGAACAGAGCAGAGAGGTGGATAGATGAGAAATGTGATTAGAAGCTGCAGAGTCTAAGGGAGCTATTGGGGGGTCACAGTTTCTATCAATATCACAGTCCATACCCACTCTCAGGCACCATCTTTCTTCTCTCCCAGGAGCTCCAGGAATTAACTCCCTGTCTGGTTTCCCTTCTTCAAGGGCCCAGGCTGCACTGAATAGTCTCACAGTTCCCTGTTCCTCCCAAGGATCTTCGCTCTTTTTCACTTAAAATTACATTATGGGAAGGCAAAAAGCCTACCTAAGAGCTAACAGTAGATTTTTGGTAGAATGAATTTTATTATTTAAGCCAGGACAATTTGGGGAGAATTTTACTATTATAATATGTCAAGACAATAGGCATAAATTGTCACACTCATCCTAGGACTAAAATAAGACTCTCTCATTTTTCAGAGGAAGGTGTAATCTGTGAATCTTTGCTCTTTTCCTTGCAGAGCTCCAGGGAACTGGATGAAGACAGCTGGGGCCACGACCAGGGGCTGGGGCTGTTGATGGTAGCGCCAGGAAGAAGCCAAGAAGTCTCCTGACGGGATGAGAGGGATGTTTGCATGTTTGTTTCCACTTCTGTCTCTTGCTATTTTAGTCCATTTATACTATTACAAGGCTTGTTCTAGACTCACTTTAAAATGAGGCAAAAAGTGGAGGTGTGGACGTGGGTGTGGTGAAAATCCTGGCAGACAACTCAGGCAATTGCTGAGCTGGGAGAGATCTCTCTGGTTGGGGTGGTGGTTCCTGGGTGGCCATTTGTTCAGGAGCAACTCTGATAAACATAGAGTCTGGGTGAATTTCCAAATGGATAGAGACCTAGTGTTCCAGCATTATTGCAATTGAGGTCATCCGACACTTTCCTGAAAACTGTGCAAGAAAGCACAAAACACAGATTTACCCTATCAGGTTGCCCTGGAAGACTCAAAAGTGCTCTATATGTCAATTTTCTATTTGGCAACAGTGTAAAGATTATTAGACAACACTTTAGATATCTGCCTGATGATCTGAGCTCAGCAGTGCTCAAAGCTGACCATGTGGTATCAAGTACCACCTGCAGGACTGATTAAAACAGATCGCTGTGTCCCACTCTCACAGTTTCTGATTCAAGTAGGTCCAAGTGAGATCTGAGAATCTGCATTTTCAACAGGTTCCCAGCAATGCTGATGCTGCTGGTCTGGGAACCACGTTTTGAGAACCACTGCTCTAAAGCTAACATTCTTATTTCAGATTTAAAGTCAGACAATCCTGTACAGCCCCCTTATACCTTATAAACCTTGTAGCTCAGAATGAAAGAATTCAGTTGGTTTTGTGATTATGTGGAGCTTTGAGAATAAAATGTTCATTGTCAAATTCAGAAGCACCTGGGTTGGAATCCCTGTTTTTTCTCTTGTGGAAGCTTTTGTACCAAGATTGCATTGCTATAAAATGTTACTTATACTTTACAGTAGGTTTGTTGAAGGATTAAAAAAGAGATCACTGGTAAAATTTCTACTGCACACACTCTCGGATGGCTACTATCAAAAAACCAGAAAATGACAACTGTTAGAACATGGAGAAACTGGAACATTTGTGTACTGTCGGTGGGGCTGTAAAATGGCATAGCCACCATAGAAAACAGTACAGAGTTCCTCAAAAAACTAAAAATAGAATCATCATATGATGTAGCAATCCCATTTCTGAGTATAAACCCAAAAGAATTGAAAGCAGGGTCAAGAAGAGAGATTTGCACACCTGTGTTCATAGCAGCACTATTCACAGTAATTTAGAGTTAGAAACAACACAAATGCCCATCAGTGGATGAATGGATAAACAAAATGCAGTACAAACATACAATGGAGTATTTTCAGCCTTAAAAAAAAATCCTGTCACATGCTGTAACGTGGAGGAACCTTGAGGATATTATACTAAGTGAAATAAACTAGTCACAAAAACAAATATTGTATCTATAGTAGTCAAATTCATAGAGACAGAAAGTATTCATAGAATGGTGGTTACCAGGAAATGAGGGGAAAGGGAAAGGTGGAGTTGTTTAATGGGTATAGAGGTTCATTTTTGCAAGATGAAAAAGTTCTGGAGATGTGTTTCACAACAATGTGGATATACTTAACACTATGGAACTGTACACTTAAAAATGGTAAGGATGGTAAACTTTATGTGTGTTTTTGTTTACCACAATTAAAAAACAACAACACTTTTCACACAATGTGCAGTACATGGTAGTGGTAATAAATGTTAGTTCCTTTCCTTCCTGCTCTTTTACTACCCTCTACCCAATTCTCTA